ATTAGTAAAAGGATCCACTTGACTGTTAGACACCGCACTGTCCTCATCATGTTAGTACTCTAAATTCAACATGCCACCAAAGGTTTCTGCCAAAGGGTGGAAGAGAAACTACATTAAATATCCAAAGAGGGTTCGCCTCAAAACTACACAAAATTTTACATGACTGTAGGTCCGCTGATATCGTTGGCCTACAAGAAACCGGAATTGTCTCCGATCAGGAAATATCTGATCTTGAGACAATTTCGGATTTCTCGCTGGTCCGGTCAAATGGCCCTAATGCCAGCACGAGGGGCGTAACAATACTTTACAAAAAACATCTGACACTGATCAAAATTGATCAAATTTCAAAATTAGAAGGACGACTACTTCATGCCAAATTTAAATTTCAAAAATATATAATCCACTGCTTCTGCGTTTACGACCCCTCTGAATATGAGGGTAAGGGCCCCTTTTATAGAGACCTTTACTCTCATATTCAAAACCACTTCAACTTCTCTGACATTTTCATTCTTTTTGGCGATTTTAATCTCATTTACTCAAAATTGGACAGCAAATCGCAAGAGATGCGCCATCAGCCACCTCTTGCGATTCGCATGTTCAATAACATCAAAACCGACTTTCTTCTAGTAGACTGCTTCCGGCAGACAAATCCAAGAAAGAAACTGTATACATTCCTCCGAGAAAACACTGGGACCCGGATAGATAGAATCTATCTATCTCAGTCTCACTGTAATACCATACAAGAAATCCTCCATGTAGACTGTCCGTTCACCGACCATAAGCCCGTTTCCGTAAGGGTGGGGCTGGGTTCAGGACGATGGGGTAGAGGAAAATGGAAATTATATGCTGCTGTGCTGGAGGAGGAGGAATATAAAACATTATTCCAAACTTTTTGGCTAGACTGGCAGGTACAAAAGATTGACTACGGGGATCCTCTCCTGTGGTGGGAGGACGGAAAGCTGGAAATAAAAAAAACTAACCATCAAATACTGTAAAAATACAACTGCCAAGCTCAGAGAACATCTTTCTCTCCTTGAAAAACGAAAATTAGATTTAGAAAACAACCATAATCTGGCTGGTGACCACTCTGGCAATTTACACCGGATACAGGACATCAAATCGGTTCAGAATATCTTGAGTAAGGGGGCTCTTATTCGGTCCAAGACACCCTTCGAGGAAAGCGACGCATCTAATATAGATATTTTTAGGAAAATAGAATTAGACAATGGGTCTAGCAAAATTATTGAAAAACTTTGGGATAAAAACGGCCATATTACATCAGAAAAATCAGAAATCTTGAACATTATCCACAGTTATTACAAAAATTTATACACTTCTGAACCGATTCCAGACCATGCTATTGATGCCTATATCAGAGAGTCTGGTATTTCTGGCAGCAGACAGGGACCTGATCAGTGAGACGATTATATCCACTCATGAGATTCACACTGCTTTGAAACATTTTCAGAATAACAAATCACCCGGGATCGATGGGATCCCAAAAGAATTTTATTTAATATTTTGGGAATTAATGAAAGACGATCTTTCCGAAATTATCAACGTCTACTTTAAACAACGTCTCACTGAAACAATGAAAACCTCAATTTTGACGATTAATTATAAAAACAAAGGATCTAAAACTGAGTTAAAAAACTATAGGCCTATCTCTCTGTTGACGGTGGACTATAAAATAATTGCCACCAACAGATTAACTAAAATTCTGAACAGCATTGTACTTGTACTTGTACAAGTCCATTATCAACAACCTGCTCTCGATTGACACCATAATAAAATATTCAAACCAAAACAACTCCAGCTTAGCCTTACTCGCCTATTTCCCACCCAATATCTTAAAATGGATCGAGATATTGTACACCGACCTGAGGGTGTGTTCACGGAATACTTTACCCCAGAGCGTGGCGTCAAGCAAGGCTGCCCGCTCTCCATGGCGCTCTACTCACTCGCTATACACCCTCTGGCTCTAAACATAACAAACAATGTGGGTATACGGGGTATAAAAATTCCAAACTATCCTCAACTGACGATGACGACTTGACTGTCCTAGTCACAGATGCTGATTCCTTTGCCCATTTTGAACTCGACCTTTACAATTTTCAACTAGCTACTGGTTCTAAAATAAACAACGCAAAAACAGAAATAATTACTTTCAGGGGGATGGCTACCCACCTACCAAACTCGCTGGCAGAATATATCAAACCAAAAATCAACCTTTTAGGTATAATTTTCGGCCCCGACAACATCAACGACAACTTCAACCCCATAATTAACAAAATCAGGAAAAAACTAATCAAATGGAAAAACCGCTCTTTAACCTTCAGAGAGAAACCCTCAGGGAATATAACCGCGACAGAAGCTATCCAACAATGACTCTGAACACACATCCGTCCTATAAACCATTATTTACAACCTTCCAGAAATAAGGCATCAAAATTACTGGAAAAACCACATCAAAGGACATCTATTTGGCACTTATTCAGGATCTCAAAATAACACCTAAAATACAACGATAAAACAGACATATCAACTTCAAGTCAACTTTAGCAATATTCAAAATTCAAAACTAAATCTTCAGGAAAAAGACTTTCTCGTTGTACATTCGGCCCTGCCTACAAAATCCTTTTTGAGGGTTCGCAGCTCCACAGACTTTGATCTGAAATGCAAATTCTGTGGAGTGGAAGTCGAATCCCTCAAACATTTGTTTGTTCAGTGTAAAAACCTGAAGAAATTGCGGGATAGCTTCTGTTGCTACGTGACAAATACCACCAGCCACGAAATGATACTTACAGAATTCTCCACCTTTCTGTACAACTTTCATGCCAGCCTATATCCCTACATCTATCATTATTTCCAAATTATTTGGAACAATAGGATTCGTCCTGGTCTAATGGAAGTAATGATAGATGGACTGATATACAGGCTTCTAAAATTATAGACCCCGTCTACCCATATTGGTACAATGTCTCAATCGCAGTCAGTGTCTAGCCCTTTCTTGGATTGCCCAGGACTGACCACTCAACGGACTGATGTGCTGGCCTCATTCATTCAACTCGGAGACGCCTCTGGATCCTGTCAAAGTAGTTTGGGGCTTCAGAGGGGACTCCGACCTAACACATGGCGAGGCCAGCACATCATACATACCATCGCCACACAATAGTATTTACAAAATATATATGTACAATATAATAGGTGGATGCTTATAAAATTTTTTAAATAATCTTCTCTGGGTTCCGGCCGCGATTTGCCAGAGTAGTCTGGTATCAACGTCGACCCTGCCCCGCGGTTTCGACCTCGATTTGCCAGAGTAGTCTGGTATCAACGTCGGCCCTGCCCCGACACCCCCCCCCCCCTCCTATAGTACTTTCATAATAATCTTCTCTGGGTTGCTGGTTCTGGTGATCGTAGGGTGGAGTTCATCCCCACACCTTCCACCTCTTGTGGGTCACTGGGCCCAGCGGCCTAGAGAATATCTAAATTTCTTTCACTTATCATTCTCCCTCCGCTCGTGTTGGGGATATGCGTAATTACCCCAGGGTGGGTCGCCTATGTCCCTAACACGAGCGGAGTGACTATCCAATTTACTACTCATAGTTACTACAATACAGCATCAACCTTTTATTTTTGCATATAGTATAATTTAAACCATTGCAAATTTTTATCCTAATATATTTTATACTATCTATATGCGATACCTCTCTACTACCTGTGATAACCCCTATTTTTACATATATTCTGTGATATTATTAGTTATATTTATATATATTCCCTTTTTTTTACATATTACCTAACCTGTGATATGTATTCTAATATATTTATATTTTTACCATTACTCTGTGATAACCATACATATTATTATATATCTACATATAATATATTTATATTTTCAAAGGCCATATTAAATAAAGAGTAGAATACACAATGATGATTGCTTACTAAATCTTTTTAAATACTTCGTAAAGTTTTAATATTATACTAACATAAAAGTCAGATTGTAAATTAAATGGATAGGCCGCAACTTAAACTTTATTGAATAGTAAATTGTAAACCAGTTAGTACCATATAGTGAGCGGTAGTCCTCTCACCCGTTTATTGGGTTGAGAGGCTACTATATCTGAGTGTATAAAAAGAAAAAAAAAGAAAAAAGGATCCCCCGCACTGTTCAGTGTTCACAGCAGAACTTCTTGACATTAGGGACGCGGTAGCATGGCTATCCGTCAATCACACGGAGCATGCCGCGATTCTATCCGACTCGCTAAGCAGCCTCCAATCTATTTTTCTCACCTCTTCTAATTGCAGGTCAGAAGTTATTGCCGAAATAAGAATGATCCACAATTACCAAACCAACAACGACCAGAAGATTGAAATATTATGGGTTCCATCGCACGTCTCCATTCCTGGCAATGATCAAGCAGACCGTTGTGCCAAGGAAAGTCTGGGTCTGGAGGATATCGAGCCTGTAGAATACTCCTATTCGGAATTCTGCAGTATCGTATCTTCTTAGGATCAACCAGAAATGGGCCGACATGTTACGTACTACGAGACCATCAGTTCAACGCCATTAAATGTTGCTGCGGCCACGTTGCCACAATGTCCTCATTCAATGCACTGAACTGAAACCCCCACGTAAGCCACTGCTAGAGTATCTGGAAACCAACGGCATATCACTCACCATACAGAATGTTTTGGCTCCACCCACGGACCACTGGTATACGATATTGGAACTAGTCTTCCATTTTATAACAAAATCTGTCTTGAACAGTTTTTATACTCAAAGTTTTCTTAACACTTTTAAATCATATCCAATCAATTTAGAGAAACATCAGAGAACATCTTTCCCCCCTTTGTTGAAAGCTTCCCCCCCCCCCTCCACTTTTATTTTTTTCCTCCCTCTTTTCTCACTTCCTTTTCTTTTTTCTTTTTTTGTCAGGTCTTCTAGTTTTCCAACAGATAACGGTACCGAAATTTGTGATAATTGACAGAACCTAATGTGACTGAAATAAAAGAATAAAACAAAAACACAAAAAATACATGATATTTCTTAATTATAAAATTACATTGAGATGTTGAGGGATGAACAAATATTTCCGTTTCGCTTGTTTACTTCTGGTTCTTCACAGGTTTCCAGTTTACGTTTTCTCGAACCTTGTACCAGACAACTTATCATAGCATCTTGCTTGTTACTTGTTCTTTTATAATTGTCTATTGCGTTACTTTTGTGACCTGTTCGACGTCTAATTAACTGGTCTTCGACACCATTTTGATGCAGACGGGCCGCGCACGTGGCACTTAAGGAATGGTTAGTGTAAAAACCTGAAAAAGACAAAAAAAAAATTGATCACAGCTTTGATGAATGAATTTCGCACACTAACCGATTTTTTTTAGATGAAATGTACGTTGGCATATGCATTTCAAAGGTTGGAGAATTGACAACAGTTAACACCCTTTACCGCAATATTTTTCGAATCTATGAAAAACACTTTAATCAAACGTCATATAAATTTTTCTTCCAATGACGTCATCAACACATAAAACAATGTCACTTTAATCGTTTCAAATAGCTTTGCTCTATACTTTCATAAAATAGTTGAAAAACACACCTTCGAAACCAACTGCTGTACACATTCTCTTTACAGTTTTGGCCAATGTGTTCTGACCAACTGGAGCTATCCATTGGCGGTGCATCTGTTGGTCTCAAGTCTAAAAACTTCTTGTATAATTTGACTAAACACCTTTCCGGATATTCATTATTGGCATATGTTCTTACAACCTTTAAAATCTTCCAGTCCTCGCCGATTGCATTTACTGGTCTATTCTCGATACGTCAAATATTCACCCTCCTCATCATCACCGAATTCCAACTGATCAACAGTCAAATTCCGATGTTCGCTACCACCACTGAGTGCAAAATTGAGGCCAGTTTAAATAGAGAACAGTGTCTAATAAGGTCTGTGGGTAGAATGTCCTTATAACCCCTTTTGCCACATGATTTTTTCTTGCTCAGATGATATGACTCTAGGCTGTTTTACATTGAGTCCAGTTCCTTTCAGGGCACCCATCTTCATTGTATTATCCATAGTGTTTTGTAGTTCAAGAAAAACAGGATCGGAAAGAAGTTTCACGGGTCGGCCAAGGTTATTAAGGTGCATTTGTATAAGTAACACTAATTGTCTTAAGGTTTTAGGTGGATATTCTGTACCATCTTCCTTTCTGGTCTCTACACAAACAATAACAAAGCTCATCATATTCAGATAATCCAATTTTCTCGTAATTAAGCTGAGTTTTTGACCACTGGTAGAACCCTCCTGTATTTTTGTATTCCTGGTGTTTCTCTATGCTTCGAGCAATTTACACGCCCAAGATATGGGTTTTTCTGTTGTTTTAGGAAACTTCGCTATTAGGCAAAGGTTGTCTGAAGCGGCGAAAATTGTTTTTCGGTTCATTAAGTTCCACATTTTCGGTTCCATTTTTATGATCACCACCGTATGGTTCTACATTTTCGGTTTCACTTATGTCACTATATTCATTGAGTTTTGTCTGCTGAGTATCATTGTCACTTTGTACAGTAATATTGCTGTCACTCTCCTTCAAAACATTATACACTTCATCATCCTCAAAATACAAATTAAAATTACCCTCTGTCCATCGAATATCAGCATTGCTAGAACAGTACACACTTTGAGAGGAGACAGGATAATCGGAATCGTCGCCACTATCCATATATACCAATAAAAGTATTCCGAGATTCAAAATTGCCAAACATTTCAAGAGTGTAAGAAACATCATATTTATATCCTTCTCCAGTAACGTCGCTCATGGGACTGGATTTTTTATCACGTGTTTCTAACAAAATATTCTCTATTTCATATCACACGGTGAAATTCACATATTGAATACGCTTAGAAGAAAGCAAATATCAGAAAAAACACAATTCAGGTGTGAACCTAACCTGATTAACAACTCAAGTCGGTATTTACATGAGTTGCACGTGCTGTGGGTCCATGCGTGTAAGACGGTCTATCTCGATATATGAGCATAAAAGATAGTTCTTTTTCCGCACTTAACTAAACTTAGCATATTGAATATGAAATGAGAGAAAAGAATTAAAAAATAATGTTGATAATGTCATTGTCTAAATAGGTTAGACTACTCGGCATTCGTGGTCTAATTGTTTGAAATGCGTAGTTATACACCTCGGAGTAGTTATACAACTCGACACCATAAATGCACAACTTCCTATCGATCGCACCGCGAACTCACTCTGTCACATACACATAACTCCACAGGAAGTTAAAGACATGATCCTAAGCATTGACACCAACAAAGCCAGTGGTCCCGATAACATAAGTGGTAAACTCCTGAAGTCAATATCCCTTGAAATATCCACTCCTCTCTGTACTCTCTTCAATCTCTCTCTCTCAACCAAACGCGTCCCCTCTGTCTGGAAATTTGCAAATGTAACAGCCATTCTAAAAAAAGACGACCCATCTATCTGTGGTAACTATAGACCAATTTCTCTGCTAAGCGTCCTTGTGAAAATATTTGAAAAATGTGAATACAAACATGTCTTTAATTTCCTGAAAACAAATTCACTGATCTCTTACATGCAAAGCGGCTTTCTGCACGGGCACTCCATTACCTACCAACAAATCGATCTTACACACTTCTTTTGTCAAGCCATTGATCAGGGGCAATACACAAGGACAGTGTTCTGCGACATCAGTAAAGCTTTTGACAGAGTCTGACATGCTGGACTCTGTCACAAGCTGGATGCGTCTGGAATCAGGGGATACTACTTACATGGTTTAAGAATTACCTTGACAATAGAAAACAGTCCGTGGTGGTAAGGAGTGTTTCCTCCGAATCCAGGACATTTCCCGCTGGTGTGCCGCAGGGCTCTATCCTTGGGCGTTTACTTTTCCTTATATATATAAACGACATTGTCAACGATATCCGATCTAATACTAGACATTTTGCAGACGATACTAGCATTTATATGCGGATTGATGATCCCACTGCATGCACGGATTTAATGAACCGAGACTTGGAACGAATGGGCGAAAACGTGGCTGGTCTCTTTCAACCCACTGAAGACCGGAACACTCGCACTCACTACCAGACTCGGCCCTCCACTACCAACATTACAACTGGACAACATACCAATTAAGTAATCATTTAGGATTAACTTTTCTCTGAAATATCGCCTGAATCGGAAGTCTCTTCATCCCATTTATATCTCTTTTATTTTACCTCATTTTGACTATTGTGACGTGATATGGGTCGGGTGCACAACCGAACTAACAAACAAACTGGAACAACTACAACTGGATGCACTTAGGTCCATCTGTGGTGCTGTAAGAGGTACCAGCCACCAATTACTTTACAAAGAAACGGGCTTTGTACCACTGCAGGAGAGGCGACGACGTCACAACCTTACCCCATCTTTCCTTTTGGACCTGATCAAATATAATGAACCAGCTTATCATACTCGTAATCCAGCCCTACTATCAGAATACTTCTGCAGAACATCTATCTTCTCTAACTCTTTCATACCCTCTACTATACGTGGATATAACAAACTGCCATCCAGATACCAAACTGCGCCTTCTATCTCCACTTTTAAATCACTCCTATCATCTACCGATATCACCGTTCCTTCTTTTTATTATCTTGGCTCCGGTAGAAATCAGACCCTACATTGTCGACTGCGTCTCTCCTGTAGCGACCATAAGTTTATTCTTCACGTTTCGGACAATCCGGTATGCAACTGCGGTCATCAATTCGAAGACACCAAACATAATCTACTTCACTGCTCCTTACATTTAGATGCCAGAAGACAGTCTATTTATCTCCTACCGCAACACCTTAACAATACTCAGTATCTCCTTTTCGGTAGAATCCTGTCTCATCTTCACCTATCTTCACGACTTACTTAATTCTAGCCGTATTTTTTTGAGATCAATTATTATTTTCGTTCAATATTATGTGCGAAGGCTTCTGGAATGCATCAAACTCTATATATTGTATATAGTGTATGTATTTCCTTTCATTTCTTTTTGTAAATAACATAATTTATATTGTAACGCGGAGAGGAGTTACATAGGCATTAGCCTGTTCTCCATTCCATTTTCTTAACGAAATAAAATATTGTTTACAAAAAAAACCCGTCCTTCAAACCTATCCACCCAACAGCCTGTTCTAAAAAAAAAACAACTCTAGAACATTCTAATCCTGTTAGCTTAATCTCGTGCAGAAAAGTGGGCCGATTACTTACATATGTCATTTCGAACATACATGTATATACATCCAACAACGCCCTGACATAGGAGATTTTGATGAACGGAATTTAATTGCTTGTTGGGATTATTTTATAATCAAACAAAGATATGTCCCGGAATCTACACAACAACAAAAAAAGTGTCATAAAACGTCCAAATTATTTTTTCGTTAAACTTCAGTCCATTTTATTTAAGAATATCCACTGTTATAAATTCAAGATCAGGACCATTTTTTAGTATGCATTTGATAGTTCGAAGTTTACCCAATATGTGCCTATTTTCAAGAACACGCAGTACCTTTCAACGACGGACTCATGCCCAAAAAGTAGGCCCGACCATCCGTTCATCTATCGGTCCGTCCAGAATTGCCCTTGTTCTTGCAAACACGGTAAAAAGCACAATTCTCGGCTGATTTTGACGAAACATGGTATTATGGTAGTACGTCAAAGAGTTCAAAAAAAGGTTGCATATTCCATTCTGTTATTGTCGTCGAGAAAGCGAAAAAGGGCGCGAAATGGCTGCAGCCGGCTTCCATAGTATGTATCCTTTGTCTCATTGAAAAAGTCATTTGTTTCGAATAAGGGCAGATAAGTATACTCGCAACAAAAGACTAAAAACCAACACTTGAGGTAGCTGTGAGGTAAGTGTGGCGTAGACCAGATTAAAGGCGACCGAGTTTTCGCTTTAAGACAAATGCATGAGATGCGCCAAACGGTTTCTTTCCTTCCAGCCAGTTTGAAGCCAGTTTGAATCAATAAAAATAAGTGAAACCCATTATTAATGTACTTTTCAGTTCAGGATTAAAAAAAAGTGTCTACTTGACACAATTCAGTGGGAACACAGGCTAAACATGGAAAAGAACACAACATGAAACTCTGAGTATCAACATACTTCAATTTCTGTTTAATATTTCTATATCGCTCTTTAATTGAGTACTATTTTAACGGTGAAAATATTTTATTACAGTTAAATACACGATAGATAGTAATAGTTCGAAAAAAACAGAGAAAATCATTTTTTGTAAAGGCGGCAGCGTTCAATCAAGTTTAATTTAAGTAGTTCTCTTTCTCGTCTGGCTCCAGGTACAATTGAACGATTTTCTTGCGCTCGACGAATCAGATATGGTAAGGTTTGATCAATTTCTCCATATGGTAAAGATTTATAAATAGGATAACTTGCATTACCTACAATGTAAAAATATTATATATAAATGAATAGATGAAACTAGAACACTGGGAATAAAAAAAACTTCACTTCTAAAATAGAATACCATAAATTGGTTGTTAATTTTTGGAGTTTGATTCTCCCAAATGTTCAGGTCTAGGAATGAACAAAGACTTCAATAAGAAACTGAAATAACGGTCTGGAACTGCAGGAAAATTTTTTTTTGTTCTAATCTGAAATTAGATAAACTAGTAACTTTAAATTTACTCAATGCATTGATTAGTGAAATGTGGGGCAATCATGTTTGATAATTTTGTTTAATAAATTTTTTATTGATACTTTTTTCATGAAGTCGACATGTTGTATTCTTGAAAAAATGAAGAAGATCGTGTAATTTGACACGATCAGATCTTAGAATTCTCAACTACCAATTGCCAAATAGTTCAATAGATCCGATCCAACTCCCAACGACTACCTAGTGTGCGCACTTACGCAAAGCATTTTCAACACATCGTTTAAACCGTATTCCGTAAGAAGTCTAATGACACTTAACATTTAGGATTTAAAAGTTGTCATTTTTTATCAATATCTATTGGTTTACATCGTTGTTTCGGTGGGAAAAAAATGTCAATATTAAGAGCATTTTATGTCAAATTTCATTGATTAAAATCGGTTGAAAAATCCATAGGCTTCGCGTGGTAAACGTCAAAATTAATATCATTAGATAAATTGAGTCAAGGACACAAAGTCGCCAAAGGTCAAGGTCGCGAGATACAGACCCTCAAAGTTTTGACAATTACCGAAAACAGAAGGAAAGCAAAATCGACATTTAAAAAATCCGCTGCCTTCGGTTCACTCAGGTGGATCACATACGGAATATTTCACTTTTTATTTTGAATCAAAAACTTGGTAAAAAAAAACACAAATCACAAGGTCAAGGTAAAGAAATGCGACCCTTGAAAGTTTTTTGCCATTACTGAAAACGATTAACCGGAATGAAAAGAAAAGCAGAATGTGAATTAAAAAATCCTTCCCAAATAGCATTTGATTGAAGTTTACAGATATATCACATTAATGAAAATCGATTTATCCCTTGAAACGCCAATTTGAGTTTAACAAAAGTTTGACATTTAAAAATGGCATCCTTTCGGGTGGAATTTTATCAATTTAAGTTTAATGTGCTATCTGCAAAAACATTTTATGAAATATCTTCAAAATTCCAGAGGCTGAATTTTTTTTAGTTTATAAGCAAATACAGTCAAAACCGGAAGTAATACCGAAATTTGAAAATTGTTCTTTCTTCACAATCACAATATTTACCTGTTAGTTGTCAGATCGATCGAAATAAAATAGTAGGATAGAAATTGAAATCGCGTAAAACTGAAACACAAAAACTCAAATTTTAAACAGTTTAAAACTGCTAGCCTTTAGTTCAAGTAGACCAAAAAGGTTTGATCAAAATCAGTTGAAATACAGAAAAAAAAATCGACAAAACACTATTGTTCACTCTGGTGCTAAGACCTGTAGTTGATGATGCAACATGTTCTTGTGGTCTATCAATAGAAGATGCTAATCATTTCTTTTTTCATTGTCCTTTGTATTCTGAACAACGGCAAAAATTATTCGATGATCTCATTGATCCTAGAATTATTAGTTTAAATATTTTATTATGGGGTGATCCTCGTGGTAATTATGAATTGAACTCCAAAATTCTAAATCATGCAATGCAATACATAAAATAATCACATAGGTTTGCATAAGGCCAATGTCTTCTTTTACTTCGATGATTGACTGATGCGTTGTTCCTGGTTGATGTATCGTTCTTAACGGCAGCTACATTGTATATATGTATATAAGTTTATGTAATTTGCATCCCATCCATTTGTATGATCAATAAAATGTGTTAAATCAGAACCTGTAGATATCGAAGCAGGTACCTTCGGGTAATTGCGCGCACGATTGCTCGAAGACTTTCACTATACCCGCAATAGCACATAGGTCAGGACTCCATCGGGTGAAAAAGGGGGACGACTGGAGGCAACAATCAGGCGGATCAAAAACTTTTCGGTACCCGTCCCTCGGAGGACTGAAGCTATAGCACCAGTTCTTACCCCGGAAGTGAAAAGTAATGCTCGATGGTGCTAGCAGGTTCCCATCCTTTTCATCAATATGCAAAGATAGCTTACCGGGCAAAGTAAGATACATCCACTAGCAGCTTTGATTTTGAATAAAAAAAATTGACAGTACAGTAACAATCACCAGTATGAAATATTCAACCTTAAAGCCAAGATTCCATATACGCGTCATGCAGATGCGTCATGCGGACATCTTGCGGATCCGTCATGCGTCAAATATTATTCCATATGTGCGTTAAACGTATGCGTTATCTTTCTTTTGACGCACGGACTTCTAGACAGATGGATGCTTTGGTGCATAAAAAAAGACAGAAAATCCCCACAAAATACGTATATCGAATCTTAGCTTTAGCCATACACTTCTTTTGAACTTTTTGGGGCAACACTGAATCACGTTACTAAGTTTTGTCAAATTCCGGCAAGAATTGTGCCTTTTAGTGTTTACAAGCTAAAAATTGAAAGTGTTAACAAGAACAAGGTCAATAACTCCAATAAAACATTTTTTGATTTTCAATAGGGTTCATCCATGGGTGATAATAAACAATTTCACCAAAACACTCACACCAAGTATGTCTTTTTTGAGTGTTTACGAGCTAAAAATTGAACGCGTTTTCAAGAATAAAGGCATCAACTCATACTAAATATATTTCAATTTTTCTGATTTTCAATACTTGAGTGATTACAAACAATCATACCAAGTTTCGTCAAAATCGGTCAAGAATTGTGCCTTCTAGAGTTTTAACTTGTGGAAGGACGGACTAACGGGCGGATATGGGTGACGCCCCAATTTTTAAGCAATCGACAGCTTGAAGATTGCAATTTAAGCAATTGAAAGCTTGAAGAAGGAGGGTGGGTCTTCTAGCTTGATTTAGGTTAGAAAGTTTGGGGGTTTTGATTCTCAAGAATGTGCAGGCCTAGGATGGATCAAATACTTCATTTAGAAATTTGAATAAGCAGTTTGGAACTGTTCTGATATGAAATAAAATTAAAAACAAAACAATCTCTCTCGAACACTTTCCTTATGGAAATATCTACTCTCTACTATCGCCCACGATAAGAAAAAGACGAGAAAGCTAGGGTAAAATTGGCGAGAAAGCTTGGAAGAAACTCACGAGACAAAAAATTTTCGGAGATACTTAAATTAAAAAATCATTTTCATCTTTGGTTTGTGTTTACAGATGATACCAAGTCGAACAGGTTTCTCAGTAAAATGAACGGACAAACAGATATGAGTGCTGACAATAAATACATGAACATGCAAGTAACAATAGGAAAACTGGTGGGAAAATGAATGTTAAATTTAACCCTCTTAGTCGAGTCAAAAAAGGAGTGAACTCAAAACAAATTGCATTAGAAGATTTTGTTGCCAAATCTGGTTGAATAAGGTAACTTCCATCCAAAAATAACAATCTACCGAAATCCACCAATGTGAAATGCATGATTTTGCATGAAATCCACGATGGCCGCCAAATCACATGCATGTTATCTTGATATAAATAGTATATAAATAAATCATTTTTGACGGCCATCTTTGATTTCAAAATGACGGTCATGCAACATTACACATCATACATAGGATGACAATAGTGGAGTCAACATATATGTTTTGGGACCAAAGATCAGATTATTTGTTTGCGGTCATCCTGGATTTCAAAATTGTCGCCAAGCTAAAAATTTATTAACAGCCATATTTCAGCTTCTAATACAAATTGCATGACAATATTGGTGTTGAAATGTATGCTTTTGGAGGAAAATTAGATTATGGCATTTTCATTGTTGTCAGAAGATTTGTTGATGGTTAATTTATCTAATAAACTTAGAGTTGTAAGAGAATGTGACATTTTGTTTTTGCATTCCTGGTAATTAATTAAAGTAGTAATTATACTATTAAAGCAAACTTTTGTTCCGTTTTTAAATAGCTTTTATTTGTAATATAGCCACTTCTGTTAGAGCCTAATGACAGCCCCAATACAAGATGGCGTCAAGTGGAAAGTCGGTTTCGTTCGAGCTCTGAGAATTTTTGTTAATTTGGTGATCGGTGTCGGTGCTTGAAAGTTTAAATGTAAAAATAATAATCATTATGAAGTTTGCAGATTAAATATCGTATTTCATACTCGGATAAGAAAATATATGTTTTGGACGTAATCTCAGTTTGTTGAGTGAATTGTATTCATCACCACGGACGCCATAGATGTCAACGTAAACAACTTCGTAGCAACGATACATTACTACCACAGTAGCTGATGATAAAAGTTTCAACGTTGGAAGTTATTCGTAGATTGATTAAATACAATCTAATAGCAGGGGATAACTTGTACCCCAATGGAAGGTCTGAAGCGACTGCTATCGAATTCTTCTAACGCAGATTCCAAAAAAGTTAAAAGACAACCATTCCTCCCCAGATAGAGCCTTTGTTCAGCGATAACGAATATAAATATGAGTGAAGATCTAAACCCAGATCAAAACCTTGCTGAACAGATTATTTTAGCTCTCAAGAACAAGCAAGTCTGAAGTTATAGCCAACGCCGTAGCCAGTCCTGTGAGTTTTCAGCTAATGCAACAAGTCACTAACCTAGAAGACAAGGTTGCCAGTCTTGAAAATAAACTCGAATCCAAAAGTTCTGAACTTGCTGATATACACGACCGCAAAGATGAGCTCGAGCAATACGGAAGACGTGAGGGAATTCGCATCCATGGAATCGTTGAACCTGGAGAATCTACTGACGATTTAGTAGTAAAAGTTGGTCACCACATAGGGGTAAATATAAACATTGGAGACATTAACCGCAGTCATCGTGTAGGGGATCCCTCGAAATATGACAAGGAAAACAAACCTAGACCTATTATAGTAAGGTTTCGTGGTTATTATACCAAACGTGACTTCA